GAATAAAACTAAAAAAAAAAAAAGACCATACCCTTTTATGTAATGATGTTTACTTTGAATTTATATTAGTTCACACAAACACTCCATCCATGCTTTTGTTCCGGCCCTCCGGTCCAGTTTAAGAACCCATTGTGGCCCTCGAGTCAAAAAGTTTGCCCACCCCTGGTCTGTACTGATCACAGGATCCAAGACTCTCTTTGTGGCCCCTTTGACATCAGACAAGACACTAGACAGGGCTTATGGGGTGGGAGGCAGAGAGTCTGGGCCCAGCTTTCAGGAGCTCCTTTCACTTCTAACATGTACAAGCTAACTGGCACGCTCAACTTGCAGACAGATGATTTATCAAAGAGGAGTGGTAAACCTTTTAATAGACCAAGTCCTTTCCCATCCCCTCTGAGGCTGACTCACTGCTAGGACCCACCAGCCATATGGAAGAGCTAGAACATCCTTGAAGGCCCCGCCCACCCACCTGACCAGGCTAAAAAGAGGCTTCCCAGAAGCTAGCAGCCCCTGGTCCCCACCCTAGCCTAGCAGGGTTAATGGGTTCTGGGGCTCTTCAAGCATCCACTCTAGTTAGATGGAAATAGGCTCCAAGCTCAGGTAGAGATGGAGACCATACTGAGAAAGAACTGGTCTTGAGAGGGCTGGGTACCACCAAGTCCCCTGTGCTGCTGCAGCAGTGATAGCACCTACATAGTTGTCAGCCTAAAGCACATTCCACCTAAGGCAGTGGTTCTCAACCTTCCTAATGCCGCGACCCTTTAATACAGTTCCTTATGTTGTGGTGACCCCCAACCATAAAACTATTTTTGTTGCTACTTCATAACTGTAATTTTGCTACTGTTATGAATCGTAATGTAAATATCTGATATGCAGGATGTATTTTCATTGTTACACATTGAACATAATTAAAGCATAGTGATTGATCACAAAAACAATATGTAATTATATATGTGCTTTCCGATGGTCTTAAGGCGACCCCTGTGAAAGGGTGGTTCGACCCCCAAAGGGGTCGCGCAACCCACAGGTTGAGAACCACTGATCTAAGGAGCAAAAATGTCCCAGAGCAGGTGGTCCTTCTGAAGTTACCCAACCCCCATTCATACACACAATGGGCTCACATGAAATCTGCTACTACAGGATATGGCTCTTGTCACCTTAACCTCTTAGCTGGCCTCAGGATGACTTCCCCAGGAGCCTAAAGCTTCTACTCCTACACAGAAGTAAACATCTCACTCCCAGCTGACTCCCAACATGAAACCCTGTACCCCTTGCCAGGCCTGGCACAGGCACGATTCTCAGTAGGACCTGCACCCGCCCTACTAGGAAGTGCCAGCTGGCCTGGTGTCCTGTGTCCCCACACTCTCTGATAAGGGCTGGTGTAGCCACAGATATTTTAGGAAAGTTATCTTTTACCCTTGAAAAAGCCACAGATCTCTTTCATTTTCTCCACATAAGTATTATAGCCATTTATTAGAGTATTTATTTAGTATTGCCAGATGAAATAATTTATATAACTGACTTTATGAATTGATCAAGTACCTAAGAATTGTTACGTGATTATACAAAGTTACAAAAATAAAGTATAGACCTTAAAATATAAAATCTTAATCGTTTTAGGCCAGGTCCACTGCGGATGGGGAGGAATGACCTCTTTGAGGTAAGGTGGGGGATGACCCCCAGCTGGGGAGGAGGCTTGGACTCTATGAAGGTGGGGGAAGGGACTTGCCAGGGAAGCCACAGTGGCAAGCCTCTTCCAGCTCTGAGACAGTGGCACGCTGGGAATTAGGGGCATGTGAGTCACATGTTGACACCTAGTTTGCCATAGGAGGATATTTATCGAGCAACTTATTTCCCAATTTGAGATGTTAAGGCTCTTTCCTTCAATGATGCCAGTTCATCAGCAGCAATGGAGCCTGGCATGTAACTCTCTGGGGAAGGGTGTGCTCAAAATGTTCCCCTGAGGTACTTGTAGCAGGACACCAATCCCACCAACCGACTGGGTGATAAGACCATGTGTGTATGCTGGGCGGGGGCCAGAGAACATTACAGAACAGCTTTCTGAATGGCAAGTTTTTAAAAATCTTACATCATCCCGAGGCAAGCATTTGCCCAAAACGACCTTAGAGCTGCTTTCCTAAAAAGTAATTACAGCAATACCGATGACTTGTTTTATACAGAAATAAGAGCTTGTAAAGTATTTTCTAGTCTTCCCGGTAGGCTGATCATGCATGCATTTTTCCCTTTGGACATCTTTAACAGAAGGGTACCACTGTAAGGTGTTATTGGAAGGTGGACTCAGCCCAGCAGAGCTCACTGAATGCACATTCTTACAATGCAGTTGGCTCTCAGAGGCCACACTCCACAGTAGCTTGACTGCTCCATCCGGGAAGTACATTCTACGCCCAGGGGATCCCAATGCGAGACCTGGTAAAAAGCCAGTCCTCCAGAGCCCTCCAGCCAGACTGTGCCTGTGCTCACAGGAATTAGAAACAAGCTGAACCACCGTGCTGCTTCGGAGAGCTCGTCAGCGGCACACCACTCTAAAGTACATAACTTTGTGTACCAGTCTACTGTCCTGGCTAAGCCTGGATCGAGCTATAAAATGTTCTGTAACCTTATTTTTGTATGGAAATTTGAAAGAAGCTGGAGTGCTCCATTAGCCCTGGGGTTGGGATCCACCTGTCCTAACAAGACGACCAGAGTATATTCAAAAGCAAACACAATTAGCTTCTGAAGGGTCACGAGTTTCTCAAAATGTAATGAGATAAGATTAGAAAAAAGAGAAACTTTTATTTACAACCATGGGAATCCCACAGGAGTACACGAAACACACATAATGTGTACACACACACATGAACCTCTGAAGCCAGCGGCACGCCACGCCCTCAGTGCCCTATCCGCACCAACATCACCGTGACGTTATCCGCCGAACCCCGCTGCACTGCCTTGTTGGCAAGCCTATTGCAGGCTGCTTCGTAGCGGGTATCCACAGCAGGCTTCCCTTCCCGGCTCTGGATCTTCTCATCCTGCCGGGCAGGAAAGGGTGCTGGTGAACAGGGGAATCCTACACCCCACCACTCTCCTGAGACAGCATTGCCAGGAGGAAGAATTGCTCAGTCCCCATCAGGGCAGGCAGGACAAACTGACCAGTCTCCCGGACATTGAAAATGCACACAAGGATACCCCCCAACAATGGGGATGTAGGGGAGGACTGGGGTGTCAGTAAGGTGCAGCTGGACAACTGGCACTCACTCCCTTGTGCAATTTCTTACCTCGAGGCAGGACAAGATGAAGTTCACAGCTTCTTCTGGGGTAAAGACCTTGAAGAGGCCGTCGCAGGCCAGCAAAATGAACCTACAATACGGGGAAGAAATATAAATGGGTTTTAACAGCAAACTCTATAAAATCGCCAGTAACAGAGGAAAAAGAAACAAACACTTGTCCAACTACAAAAAAACCTAAGACTTTTTTTTTTCCATCCCTTCTTCTCTGAAATCAAGAAAAACATATTTAAAAAAATGAAAAATGAGTAAAAGATTTGAACAGACACTTTACCAAAGGAGATATACAGATGGTAAATATTCTCATGAAAACAGACTCAACAATGTTAGACATTAGGAAAATGTAAATTAAAACCACAATGAGATACCATTACACACCTACTAGAATGATTGAACTTAAAGGACTGTAATTATCAAATATTGGTGGAACCCTCATATATTGCTGCTGAGAATGCAAAATGAAAACCTAAGACTTTTAAAAAAAGTAATTTGACTTCTATGAGACAAAGATTAAAACTACTTAAAGATAACTGTAGGTGGGTCTAATACATCAAAACTGGAATATGCCTTCTGTTCACTAATATTGAAAGTATGAATTCAAACATTAGGTAGGTATTGCACTTTCTTATATAAACGCAAAAGGTACATCACTGAATAAAAACATCAGGTATTATGGTAAATATACACAGAATTTCTTTCGCCACCTGCCTTGAGCCATTTCCCAAAGACATAAAACTAGTGGTTAGACCTAAATGGAACATCCTAGTAGCCATGCTGAGTCCAACGCCCCAGGAGAACCACCACCCACCTTTACTGTTTGAAAACAGGATTATTTCCCTACCAAAACCCCCATCCTCTGGGCTTCCCAAGGAAAGTCATTCTGAACAATGGTGGCTCAGACAGAAAGATTTTAGTTCTCCAAGCACCAAGGAATGTTCCCCACGGCTTTAACCACCTCTCTTTTCTCACTGTCATACCCAGGTCTTAGTTCTCCTCTTCTGACTGGGCATTCATTCAACAGGCATTGACCAGCACTTAGTCTGTGCCTAGGACAGTGTGGGGCACAAGTCCCAGAAGACTCCTGCCCATTCCAGTGAGGTGACAACCATCCAGAATGGGGGGGGGGGGGGGGGGGG